GTTTCCTTGTGGACTTTGACTGGGAAATTGTCGGCCAGCAAGTTTGTCCAGTTATCTATCAATAGATAATAAACGGTTGCTAAATGTATGTAAATTGTACGTCTTGTCTGGCTTGTATTAATTTATTGCTTAAAGCTTGAGCTTTATTCACTTTCTGGGGAGATTTTAAAGTCACTCAGGCGCTGCTCGATGTCTCAGATCTTCCGATTGATTGCAGCGATGAATTATGACGTGTGCATATGAAATTAATTACTCATGCTTGTCTTCTGAGCCATCGCCAATCACGTGCAGGTGTAATTATGTTGATTTACTCTTCATCTCACTGGCAAAGTCACTCTCAGTGCAACTGAATTCCATTCTTTCGACGCTTCCGCGTGAGATGAAAAGAATGGCATGTCATGGCAGCATAATCACGATGCCGAGAGCTTGAGAACACTTATAGTGGAATTTATGCGAGTGTGAATGCAAATGAAATTTCATTCTCTCCCATCGTTTTTCTCCACTCTGTCTCGAAATTATCCCTAACAATGTCGTATCGCGGAGATCAAATATATATCTGGGGGTGTGTTCATGTTGCAAAATGTACTGGATTTGCTTGGCATTATGAAATAAGGAGAGAGACTTGGGGGTGAAATGTACACCGTCAGATTCCAACTTTGTACATAAGTTCCTCTCCAATGACATACAGGTATTTCAGCCCACCCTCGCCACCCTTTTGCCACCCTTTCGCCGGCAACACCTCTGCACAATCATTACTCATTTTCGCAGCTGGTGGAAGGCATGCAGCGTGTGGGGGCGCTTTGGGGGTGGGCGGGGGAAATCCACGGCAATAGTAATTCATTATAATAATATTGTTGTTGTTCTCAGTGGCACGAATCACCCCCGCGCGCGCGAAATGGGGTCCAAATATAGTCATTCGCCGGGGCTCAAGTCAGCCGCACACACATGTTGGAAGGGTGCAAAAAAGCCATCAGCAAAAGTCGCCCCACGGAGTAACGTGCAATTTCCACATATTCAGAATGCCATTCGAATCTGCATGACGCCCCATTTTCATTCTCACGGCCAAAGCGGCCAGACTCAGGCCATTGTTGCCGTTGCGCTAATGATGCATGACTCTGTCACCAACGACCCAAGATTAGCATCTATTTATTTAAAATTTAATTATGCAGCAAATTGCATCGTTTTCCACACAAACGACCATACAATCTCTCTCTCCCACCCTCCCAAATGCCACCCAACGCGCGCCCCCAGCGAAGGGGACGGTGAAGCTTTTCTATTCTCGCATTTCGTGCATTTTTTCAATTGATAATTAACTTTTTTTTTTCACCCCAACAAGCAGTGCAAGTTTGAAAAATTTTCACATAGTGGCAAAAATTGAAACACTTTATTTGCCACGATGGAAGTTGTAGGGTGAAAAATAGTGGAAAATGCACCTTTTGCACGTGTTAATTTATTTCAAGTCGTACCGCCAAGTTGATTACCCTCTCACCCATACTCATGTACCATATTATCAATTTTCGCCAGCACGAGACACAACAAAGGAGCACTTTGCACGTGAGTGTGGCTTAAGTTCTGCAGGGTTATTCATCACGGCGCCAAATGGGTGTTTATGTTAGGCGAGAGACCTCTTCAAAATGTTCGTGCGCGGGAGCAAATAGAGGAATTTTTAAATCTCTCACAGTCCATTAAGAGAATTGAAAGAATAAGTTGAACTTTCCCCAGTCTGGCGTGAGAAAATTAAGGAAATTACAAGGGGGAGATATTATGGTCAGAAGTGTTTGCTTTAAGACTAAATAACATCGTAAAATCATAATTCTTGCGCCCAAACTGAAAGTATTTTTGCATTATTAATGAATTTTAATGGTCTCAATCAAATATTTAATTATTTATAATTACTTTGTATGAAAAAAATCAAATAATCAAAATTTGAATTAAAAAAATCAATAAATGATTATTTTCCAAGTAAAATTGCAAAATAATTAAAATTTGAATATTTTCGGACAAAATATTTTATAAAATATTAAACTATGTTTTTCATATTTAAGGATATTTCATTAAAATTGAAATGTTTGATTATTTTCTTCACGTATCACCGCCAGAGAGCAGCAAAGTGGGCAGCAAAGGCGGAATTTGGCTTTCAGAAGTTCGAAACAATAACGTTTTTGACTTTAATTGATTAGATTGATATTTACAAAGGATATTTAATCTTAATTTGAGTATTATGGTCACGAAAAACACCAAAAAGTACGTGAAAATGAAGTGAAATCGTGAATTTAGAAGTTTTTAGTTGGATTTCAGTCAGTTTCCAGTTGATTTTTAAGCTGAAATTTGATACTTTATCACTGATTTTAGCCTCTTTAATCGTTTTACTCAAATAGTAATCTTCTCGTAGATTTTATCCATATTATCTCCTCCTTTGAAGAGGACGAGAGAAGTTAATTTTGAGATCACGCGAGAAAAATTAATTAATTTGCGCGCTTGAAAAATTCTCCGCTCAATATATCGTTTCATTTTATTTCCCAAACAATTATTAGTCGCCCTTCGATGGCTGTATCGTGTTGAGATCATCACTCACCAATCGCAAAGTCACATCAGTTGCACACATAAGATGTTCGGAGGAGACATGAAGGGATTCATTAATCTTCGAAAGGTTGTGCGGAGAAGAAGCTATAAAAGTCTAAATATCTGATCGTGAAATTCCGCCTGTATATAAATTTTCCATGATTTGGACAAAGAGCGGCTAAATTGCAGAATTACTCTCCGGGACGCGCCCCAGAAAGCCACCCTGAAGGATGGGGGCGAGCAATAAAATAAAATATTGGGTTAGGGAGCAAAGTGGAGGGCTTTTTATCTCTTATCTATCTCTTACCCAATATAATAGCCAGAATTTGTTGAGTATGACAAAATCATTGAAGTGGAGGGATTTATCAAATGTGCAGGCAGAAAATGGCAAAATATTGCCGTAGACAAAATCTATGCGTTTGATAATCTAAAATTTATTCCCAATCCCGCCACATTGGCGATACAATTGCCATATATATATGCAGAGAGTGGAAAAATACGCTCTACTGCAAAATGTTGTGTTTGCATTCGCGGAAATTTGCAACTTGAATTTCGGTTGCTGTGCAGCTTTTATGTACACTTTTCCACCATCTATTTGTATATTGATTGCCACATGCATTCATTCTCCGTGGCTGGCGCTCTTCGGGCCAGGTTTGTGTGTCTATTGTGTGGTTCTGGATGAGCTCCCGCGGAATGGGTGCATATAATCTGCAAAATTCACCCCACCACCCCCAAGCCCGGCACAAGTGGATGGTAAAAATTTTACAGGTGCTTCAGCAAATGGAAATTTTAAGATGAACCACTCCTCACGAGCATCGCTGCTTCGCATACGAAATATGCTCCAACGCCCATGCTTTGCATATTGTCAGAGCGGCTCAACTGTGTATTTACTCAATAAAATGCATAGAATTAAATACTCCTGAGAGCTCAAAAGAGCACAAATGCGCGCCGAGTTGAAGCCGGAGGAAAATCCCACCCTCGCACGCCTCACCGCGAATCCACCATCAGAGCAAAAATGTAATAACCTGAGGCGATTATCCTGCACTGTGGCCTTTAATCAACCCTTTTTTTCTTATTTTATCACGCTTATTTTTATTAAACCTCTAATACTGAAATATAGAGATTGCTGCCCATTATATCCCCAACCCAGCCCAGAGCTCACCCCCACCCCCGCTATAAACACTTATTTATTAATTTTGCGCCCTCCTCAGCTGATGGTTCTTTAAGTTTTTCAATTTGCACACTCGCTTTTTTCTGCACTCTGTGCCAGAGCTGAAAATTATGAGGGTTAAAATGACGAGGAAAGCAAAATTTCGCAATTGCTATTTTATACTTTGCCACCAGAGTTGATAAAGATGAAATCTTCTCCAATTCGCATTTTCCTTGACTCCCAGAGAAGCTTTTACAAGCGTGAATTGCGAATTCAAGCTCTATATTTCACTACATCAGGAGACATTTTTGGGGTGGAATTTATTTAACATCAAATGAAAATATCTAGAGTGATTCTCACTAAAACGAGGGATGTTAAAAATGTGTTAAAGTAGCTTAACACTGTCTTTAGTACTCTGGATCACACGTGCAGAGCTTTAAATTACGATTGTGTCAAGAAATCCATCATGTGTGTTAAGAAATTCACCACACGTGTTAAAAATTCACCACGCGTGTCCAAAAATTCACTACGCGTGTTAAAGATTCACCACGCGTATTAAAAATTCACCACACGTTTTAAAAATCACCACGTGTGCCCAAAAATTTACTACTCGTGTTAAAAATACCGAGTGTGTTAAAAAATCACCACTTGTGTTCAAAAATTCGGCACTTTTGTTAAAAATTCACAACTTGTGTTATATTCTAAAATGCTTCACATCTGTTAAGCCAATTTGTACTGTCTGAATGTGTTATTAAACGACCTATCAACATCAATTTAAAATTTCACCATTTCAATTATTGCTATTCTCTTCTAAGAATGCGAAACAGAAAATAGCACTTTTCAAATCGAATTTAGTCAAATGAATCCCTTCAAATGATTTCGATATCTTTATTCTAAAGTGAGCGTGAGTGTCATATTGCGACATTTCACTCCTTCTGTCAATAATCACCGAGCACACATATGGATGGTGTTCTCTCTTCTCTCCACTGCAAAGGTGGAGAGACAGAGTGACTGCAATTTGGCTGGCAAAACAATGAATCCTGGGAGAGAAATACCTTCAACATCCCGAGCGAAGATTTATGGCAAAATAAATGGTGGTCTAACTTTTCCACTGGATCTATTACATGTTGGTGCATTTGCAGTTGATTCCAACACTGTCAAATGGATCCGAGCATCGTCTGTGCACCGCCATGAGTTCAGCCACACGGAGTTCTTGTGCACATAAGTACCTCCCCGGGTATAAATTATGGCAAGGGGAAGTGGTAGATTATGGGTAAAATATACGTACCTCCAACAACTACGCAAATTAAATGCAGATCACCCCCTTCTTCGTAGGGACCGGCGCGAGACTCCACGGAGTCCCGGTTCTCGTTGAAAATTTTCGGTGGTGAGGGTGGAACTGTGGAAAATTAAATTTTCGGTAAATAAGTATGATATGGCGCGAGAGTGAGAGCGGAGGATTCGGAATGTCGGACGCGCGCGCGGGAGTTTGCGAAAAACAACAAGTCAATGTATAAATTTAATTATCCAAATATTGTATTACATATCTCAATGGTATGTGTGGAATGTAGATGGAGTTGGTGCTTTTTTCCACCACCACCACCACCCGCGTCCGCCCCCTTGTCATGGGTTTTTCTTGTGCACAAATATTCACCCTCCGGCCCACTTGCCTTCGCGCTGTGCACATGAAATTGCTCAAGTGTATATGGAAATAGTTTTGCCACTGAGAGCGTCTGGATGTTTTTGTTGTGAGCAAATGCGAGCAAACGGCTAAGAAAAACAGTTGTATGGCGCAAAGTTAATTCCCAGGGGCGAGATCCTCCGCGGATACACGAAAATTTTCCCATGCAAGAAAAGGCGCGCTAGGGAAGGATTTTCGTTGGCGCGCATATGAAAAAGACATGGAAAATTGCTCTATACAACAACTTAAACTATTTATGCCTCAGCGTCTTCCACATATATACTTATATCCTTTTCATCTCACGCTATGCGCCGCCGGTCTTCCGCGGGGTGACTCTGTGTGCACAGGAGCAAAAAAAAAAGGGACACGGAGACTCTTCTGCACTCTACACTTTATAATTAAATACTCACCAACTACTTCTAAGTTCACGTTACTATTTCTTGTCGGTGAAAGTTTGAAATCGACTCGACAGCGAAAATTTCCACCATCCTTCTCCTGCAAATAAAACATCCTATTAACATGTGTTCTTCGCACTTTCAGTGTCTCGCGAACACACTGGAAAATGACTGTGGAAAGAGAGCAGAGACTGTGTTCTATCAATTACAATTAGGCCAATTTAACGATTGCACCCAGCGAGTCAAAATAGCTACAAAAAAGCTGTTAAATCAGCTAAACAGTGCTAAGATTACTGAGCAGTATATTTGAGCAGCACAGTGGTAAAAATACATCAATTTACAGCACATTTTTAAGCTAATTTTTATGCAATGATCAGCCAATTTTTCATCCATTTTCTTAGCAATTTTCAAAAATTTCTCAAATTATCAGCTTTTTTCGCTAAATATTGTGCTCAATTTTGAGCTTTTTCTAATAAAAATATAGCAGGAAAACCGGAAGTTCAACTTCCATGAACTTCCCTGCAAATCTGCCACATTTGAAGGAATTTGCATGGCGTTATTTGTATAATTGAGTGTTGTAATCACGAAATATATCATTGAAATGGCATGGTTTTTACATATATTTATCTATGTACTTAAGTGCGCATCAATACTTTGACTGGTCGCCGCTACGTTTGCTAGTGCAGCAATCGAATGGCTAAAATTTGAGCGGATAATAGCACAAAAACCAACTAAATCAAGCTCAAATTTTGAGATTTAGCATTTTGTATTCACGCCTAACAATTGAAGCGGAATTTTTGAGCTAAAACACGGGGAAAACTGAAAGCGTTTGAGGCCCTTCACATCTTGCTGTCGCGATACAGAAATGTAAACAAGAGAAAAGATATTGCTGGCGTCAGCACGATCTGTGCGAACATTGAACAATTCATAATAACAACTATTATCCAATAGATATAATCTTGCTCATTTCATTGTGAAAATCGTGAAATGAAGTGATGAAGCATTCAATGCGTGCATTCTTTACGCATAATTGACCATTTACATAACACAGTTTGCCTCAGTTTTGTAATATTTAATTACAATTTGTATCTCTATGATGAGTTAGAATTGATTGATAATAATATGCAGAATATTTTCACTGGCAGTCACATGACAAGAATTTGTGACTAATTATCTACAGGTAATTATTTTAAAATTCACCCATAGAGTCGCTTAGGCGATTGGGCTGATTGAAAATGTATTTATAATTATCATTTATTCTCATTGAATTTGCGGCGTATTTATCAATTTAATCCATTATTGGGGCGGAATATGGGAAATTTATTGTTGCAAATCGAACTAGTCAAACCTTTATTGGTTGCTAACGCATGAAATTATTGTGTTAGAATATATGTATCACTATTTAATAGTCTGTCAATGACCAATAAAGAGACACTGAATAACCAAACGACAGAAGCTGTCCTTATGAATTAAATACGTCCAATCAAGAGGTAAAAAACTCTAAAGCTACAGAGACTCTCGGAGAAATAACGAATTACACATTGAGATGATATCGCAGAAAGTATCTGCATTTGCTGTACGTCTTGCCAGAGGTTTAATATCACTCATATGATAGATATAATCTTAGTTTAGTGTGCTATAAAGTAATGAATATGAATGTGCTGTGGGTTATTAAATTTTATACTTCCTCCACAGTACTTGAGGTTTCGTCTTACAGCCATTTTTTCACACACATTTTCCCCACAAATGGTTCTTTTATACCTTATTTTATATCGAACAAAATTTTCTTTTCATGATATGTATACATATTTTCAAAATTTCCACCATTATAATGTGTTTTCTTCTCCCTCTCTCTCTTTCGAGATGTCTGGGAGAGAAGCTGTAAGTCGCAGTAATTAATTATGTGTCCACACTTCTTATGCATTCACTCATTATAATTGCGTGATGAGAAAAATCGTCTGTTGGCTGGGAATATAAATGCAAGGATATTGGATGGGCACCAACCTGCAATTAGTCACTTATTAGCCTATGTGGCTCGGAGGGCAAAAATTTTTCTCCCCCTCTGGTGGCACAGCTTGGCTGACGGCGGAGACGAAATGATGAGCGGCGGAGGTGAAAAAAATAGACTCTTGCACTTCACTTAAACTAATTATATTGAAAATTTTTCACACTTCAGAGGGCAAATGTTGCGGTTTTGTAAATTTAATAATTCAATAATTGGCACAAATCGCGATGTGGATTGTTGGACTGTCTGGTTAAGAGTGAAGAAAGTAGAAATTACACAGGAGGCAAATAGATTAAATTTTGGTGCCCGAGCGGGACTTGATAAGGAACTGGTTTGGTCTTATCTCTATGGCGTGAAGCGCATTCGACGATATTTCTGCACTGAAATGCGTCAACATCCTGGGGGGGCCGATGATGAGGGCGGGAGTCCCTCGATGGGCAATTTGGACAGCCTCTGAACTGCCCTTTTGTATTTACCCCTTGCTGTCCTGATCGTGACGACTCTGCATCGTCCATCTCTGCCCGGATGAAGCTCCTCGATGATGCCCATTGGCCATTGATGTGTGGCCATTGAATCGTCGCCGATGAGAACGATATCGCCAATCTTCAAATTGTCCGCTTCCTGCGTCCATTTGACTCTCTTCTGGAGAAGATGGAGATATTCTTTCCTCCAACGATGGGCGAAGTGCTGCAGAATCTTCTGGCAAAGTTGCCATCTGGAGAGGCGATTTGGCGCAACATCTGTGAGCGTCTGATCCGGGAGCGCGTTCAGTGGGCGTCCCACTAAAAAGTGACCAGGAGTCAATGCGAACATCTCATTTGGATCCTCGGAGAGTGGCGTGATTGGTCTGCTATTGAGGATGGCTTCGATCTGTGCTACGATGGTGTTCAACTCCTCAAATGTGAGAATAGTCTGTCCAACTTCTCTGGCTAAGTGATGTTTGAGGGACTTGATCGCCGCCTCATAAAGTCCGCCATGATGAGGAGATCTTGGTGGCGCGAAGTGCCAATTGATGCCCTTGGGGGCTGCCTCTGAAACGACGTCTGGCGATGACTGGATGTCTCGCAGAAACTTTGCCAACTCTGCGCTGGCTCCGCGAAAATTGGTGGCATTATCGCAGAAGATGTCGCTTGGAGCAGCTCTCCTGGCCGCGAATCTCCGCAGCGCAGCGACGAAGCCCTCGGATGAGAGACTGCCGACAACTTCCAGGTGAATGGCTTTCGTCGTGAAGCAGACAAAGGCGCAAATGTACGTCTTATATGATGTACCTCCTCTCTTGTAGCTAGGACGCGTGAGGACTGGGCCGCAGAAATCGATGCCACACACTTTGAATGGAGCCACGTGATCTGTCCTACTCGTGGGAAGATCTCCCATTCTCTGCTCCTGTCGGATCGGCTTGGTTTTCCAGCACACAACACATGAGCGAGCGACGCTTCTGGTCAGATTTCTTCCTCCCAGCGGCCAATATTTCTGACGCAGAGTGGCCAGAAGCAGTTGTGGTCCCGCGTGCATGTTGTTCTTGTGTGTGTGGGTGGCGATAATCGTGGCGAGGCGACACTTGGGCAGAAGAATTGGATGGCGGGCATCGTAGTTTGCAGGCGATTGAGCCAGTCGGCCACCCACTCTGATGATTCCCTCTCCATCAATGAAGGGAGTCAAGTGGCGCACATGGGCGAACCTCCTGCTGGTCCACATGGTGCCATCGGCAATGGCTGATCTCACTTCTGCCAAGTGTTGAGCTTGTGCAAAAGATACTAGTTTGTGCTCTGATTTTAGGAGTTCTTGGGATGTAATGGGACCTCTAATGCGACTAGGCGAACCTGTCAGGACTCTTAGCACGTATGCTAGGATTCTTTGTATCCGCAGATAACTGCTGGATCTTTCAAGGATGGTGTCAAGGATGTGACTTTCTGGGACCTGATTGATAATGGCAGTCGACGAAGCAATGAGCGTGACACTATACGGGTCTTGAGGCCAGTTTTCGGCCTTACCCAACAAAAACTCTGGGCCCGTCCACCATATAGATGAACCTTTCAATTCTGTGGGCAACATACCACGCGATACAACGTCCGCAGGATTTGAGGCTCCCGGTACGTGCTGCCATTTCGAAACGTCCGTCAGTCTGAGAATCTCAGCGATTCTATGCGCGGTGAAAACGTCAAATTTAATGCGGTTTGATCTGATTTGCCCCAAAACAATCGTCGAGTCTGTCCACAAGAAATATTCCGTGACTGAGAGAGCATTTCTGATCTTGTGGGCAAACTGAGAGCCTAGAGCTGCGGCACACAATTCCAATTTGGGGATGGTGATCGACGATGTGGGAGCAATGCGCGACTTTGCCATCAGAATCTGAGACTGGCGACCATGGATATCATCCTCTGTGACCACATAAGCCACGGCACCGTATGCAACTGAGCTGCTGTCGCAGAAGACATGCAACTCGGTGGACTTGGGAGACGTCAAAGTCGACATTGGGCGCTGAACTTTGATCTCCTGAAGGGTTGGAAGACCTTCGGCTAATTGTTTCCATTGGGAACTGATATGTTCCGGAAGCGGATCATCCCAATCCAACTTTTCCTCTTTCCAAAGGGCCTGCATGATCAATTTTCCGATAACAATCACTGGAGAGACGAAACCAAGAGGATCATAAAGTGACGCAATTGCCGCGAGGACTTCTCGCTTTGAATTGACGTCAATGAAATCTCGAGTGAGCTGGAAGACGAAAACATCATTCTGAGGGTGCCAAAGCATGCCTAGAGCCTTGGATTGCTCAGGAAAGATGCTGCGTACCTGTGAGGGCTCTACTTCCTCTGTGATTTCTGGACTGCTGACACACCATTTGGCGAGCGTCATGCCAGCGGAACTCAACAATTCTTTCAACTGCCGTTGAGTTTCAAGCGCATCGGAAATGGATGGGCATGATGCGAGACAATCGTCCACATAAAAATTCTCTTTCAGTGCCTTGGCAGCGAGTGGAAATTTTACCTCTTCTCTATCTGCCAGATCGATGAGGACTCTTGTCGCGAGATAAGGCGATGAACTTACACCGAAGCAAACTCCTCTTGCCCTATAATGACGAATGGGTTCCGAATCTCGGAATCGCCACACAATGCGATGGTAGTCTTTGTGGGAGGGATGAATTAGCACCTGAGGATACATCTTCTGGATATCACAACAGAATGCAAAAGGGTGTTCTCGGAATCTGAGGAGAATTGCGACGATGTCGGGCTGAACTGTCGGGCCCACCATGGCAACATCATTCAGGCTGAGGCCTGTTTGGGATTTTGAACTGGCATTCATGACGATGCGAACTTTAACTCCTGAGGAGGACTTCTTAGCAACAGCGTGATGAGGCATATAGTAAGAAGTGGAAGTGATCTCATCTGGGGGAACCTCCTCAAAAAATCGCAAGTCGAAATTCTCCTGCATCGCAGCGTGATATTGGCTTTTTATCTCTGGGTTGGCGGACAAACGACGCTCGAGACTGAGAAATTGTCTGGTGGCATTTGGCAAATTGTTATGAAGACGCACTAAACTGGGGCGAAAGGGGATCTTCACAACATATCTTCCAGTGTCATCGCGGACAGTGGACTCTTGGAAGCAGTTCTCCACGATCTCATGATCAAGTGTTTTAGGATGGGCAGTGGAAACTTCTTCTATTTCCCAAAACTTCCGGACCGATGAGTCGATGGAGGCCAGCGTCGTCCCAACATACGCGACCTGGTCTGATTGTCGCGTCTGTGACGAGCTAGCATGGGCGCCAGAAACAACCCACCCAAAGCAACTTTCTTTGAGAATTGGCAAGCCTTTGCCCAATCTCATTATCTGTCTGGTGAATATCTCGTTATAGAATTCGTTGCTTATCAGCAAATCAATGGGCTGAGACACATGCCATGTTGGGTCGGCAAGGGAGATCTCTGAGGGAATGGCGATCTGATCCACCTGTACCTTCCAATTAGGCAACTTTTGTTCCAACACTGCGGGAACAATTTGGCATGTCATCGAAAAATGGACATCTTGATTGTCAACTGCCTGCACACAACATTCAGCCTGGAATTTGGACTTGGCTCCACCTCCAACCACCCTCCCAATGTACACATCGGACAGAGATTTGGGCAGCCGAAGTCTTTGGAATAGGGGCTGTGAAATCAGATTGACTTGAGCTCCGGAATCCAGCAAAGCTCTGCACAGCTGCGGAACACCGAACTTATCCAAGACTCGTACCACAACCGTCTCTAGAAATACCTTCACAGCAGGGCGAGAGGCAGTGGAAGAGCCGACGATGGCTGTGGAGTCAGACTGTGAAGTGTCTGTGGGCCTATCATTCGATTGGGTCTGCTGCTGAGCAGGAGTGGATTGTGAGGACTCAGACTGAAAGGCTTCGTGCAAAAGTGTGTTGTGGTGTTTGGAGCATTTCCGGCAAGTGAAAAAGGTACAATCCTTCGTCAAATGTGTCTCGGTGATACATTTTCGGCACAGTTTGTTGTTCCTGACAAGTTCCAGACGTTCTATGGAGGGCATGGCAATGAACTTGTGACACTTGAACAACTTGTGGCCTTCTTTTTGCATCCAGGACAAGGAGATTGTGCAGTGGCAGAGAGAACTGTGGCTTTTTGTGGCTTGAGATTCTTATTGCTGGTTGGGCCAGCTGGAGTGGACTTGGTGGCCTGAGATGAGGATTTGGCCGGGTAAGAATTGTACTGTGCGATGGACTTTAGTCTCTCTCTCAGAAACTGCAAGAATTGGACCATCGTTGGTGATTGACTCTTAACCTCGCGAGACCACAGAACTTGGGTTTCATGGTCGAGCTTCTCCAAAAGCAAATAAATGACCCACGGATCTCTTTCCTTGACATCAAGTGCGTCGAGGGAATTAAAAACTGAATTGGCGGTGGCAAAAAGATCCGTAAGAGCATCAACTGAGGGAGTGGAAATTGCTGGCATCGTGCAAAAGCGCGCAATGTGATGATGAACAACAGACTGCTGATCATCATATTGTCCCACTAATGTGTCCCACGCAACAGAATAATTGGCATCTGTGATGGCCAAACTATCAATCAACTTCTTCGCATTTCCCTTGACTGAGGAGACCAAATATTGCATACGTTGCACATCAGTGAGGCGAGGGTTAAGATGAACAATGCTGGTGAACATGTCTTTAAAGTGATGCCAGACAGTGTAATCACCGGAAAAGTCTGGGACCGTTAACACAGGGAGCTTCAAATGGGACTGATTTCTGACGTCGTGTGGTTCTGGCCGTGGACTGTGGGCCACTACATTGGTCAGCCTATCGAAAAAGTTCTGATTGCGCACCTCTGCTTGTGCTTGATGAGTAATGAGCATGGCAAGAGCTTTTTCTAAATTAGCAATTGACGAATCACCAGAAATTTGAGCTGATGGCTGATGATTAGAGCCAGAAGGGCCAGGGATGGGCAAAGGATCATCATTATCATCCTTCCGGTCCAAAGCATCACCCAAAATTCTCCTCAACTGACTAATTCGCTCCATGATTCTCGAGTGCTCCTCATATTCAGTCACCGAATTATTTCCCGTATTCACTAGCTCTTCATGAACCATTGTGAGTTGAGCTTTAAGGTCATCAAGTTTAGTTATGTTGGAGGCAATATCTGTAGCCGAAAAGGAAGCCTCATCCTTGCGAACGGAATCAACATAATTTTCAATGCGAGTCAGGTGACCCTTAAGTGTCGCTCTTTTGCTCAGGAGAGTCATAATTAATCAGTGTGAGAGCGAAAGGAAAAAAGATGGGAATTGCACAAATTTTCACTCTACACTGTTACAACTTACTTGGCGTGTGAAGATTGATACGGCAGAGCTGAATGGCGGCGTGGACTGCACTTGGTCACCGCAAAAGCTGGTGGACGCCTTCGCAACTTGGACGGCGTTGCCTCGAAGGGCCAAAATGGATGGGCACCAACCTGCAATTAGTCACTTATTAGCCTATGTGGCTCGGAGGGCAAAAATGGATGGGCACCAACCTGCAATTAGTCACTTATTAGCCTATGTGGCTCGGAGGGCAAAAATTTTTCTCCCCCTCTGGTGGCACAGCTTGGCTGACGGCGGAGACGAAATGATGAGCGGCGGAGGTGAAAAAAATAGACTCTTGCACTTCACTTAAACTAATTATATTGAAAATTTTTCACACTTCAGAGGGCAAATGTTGCGGTTTTGTAAATTTAATAATTCAATAATTGGCACAAATCGCGATGTGGATTGTTGGACTGTCTGGTTAAGAGTGAAGAAAGTAGAAATTACACAGGAGGCAAATAGATTAAATTTTGGTGCCCGAGCGGGACTTGATAAGGAACTGGTTTGGTCTTATCTCTATGGCGTGAAGCGCATTCGACGATATTTCTGCACTGAAATGCGTCAACAGATATCTTAATTTCTTCACAGGAGACATTAATTAATCTCTCTCTCGGGCGTTAATTTAAAACACTCTCCATCGCCGAGCATATTCTTCGTGTGAGTTGTTCTCGCGTGTCTGTATGATGAGGGTCGGAAAAATTGCGACATTTCTGCATTGGACACATTTTCCGGATCCGGAAAGTGCGACATCTAAAATAGAAATCAGCACGAGTTGGAAAAAGAAATGAGATATCAGCTAAGGAGCCGTTTATCTTGAACTTTTTCCGTCCACAATCTTCACTAAGAGACCATCCAAAGGACACTTTATTGAGGGTTTTGTTTTTACTATACACTGTGAGAAAAATCGAGCTAAAATTAAGTCAATTTCAGTATTTGCGATTAAGAAAGATTTTTTGTCTTGATTGTGAAGGGAAAATGTTCATTAAAACTTGTTTTACTCCTTAATTTAAGTCCCAATTCGTGGATGATTTCTAAATTTCAGTATCAATTTAAGTCCTTTTCAGTCTTGAAAGTATTAATTTCATGTTAATTATTAATTATTATTTATATTCTTTTCTTGAGTGCAGTTTGTGCCTTTCCAATCCAGTGGCTTCTTAAGAAACTCTTGAAGAATTTAGTGTCAAGTATTCGTATCAAATGTACTCAGGAATGACTTGGGAACTAATCACATTTTTCAGAGATAGCATAGAATTATCCAATTATGTTTAATTGGTGCAAAAACCGCGAGCGTTTCTTTTTCACTCTATTTTGCATTTCTAATTTCCAAAGTGGCCCTAATGTCGTCTCATTGCTCTTTCTCCGCGTGTGCAAAGTGGCGCTACTTCAAACGATTCCTTGCACCATCACTCATTTCCAGGGTGTTGTAAATGCAAAATGTACGCCACATAGACTCTCTGGGCCGTAATTTATTACCATGACTGGATTTATGATTAATTCCGCTGGCCCGCCGACTGACTTGAAGACGGCGCGATCCGCCAGCACCTCCTCGTCCCGCCAATGTGACGGGCTGCCCGAGTGCGCTCCGCGGGTGTCGTAGCTGCAAAGACAGAAGAAGAGGCGCCATGAGTGTCAGAGGGCCGAGAAAAAAATGTGAATAATTTGTGCGAATTAATTTTGCAGCTCCATCTCGCATGGCGGCGCCACTCGCCGTGCCGTCGATGTCAAGGGGGAGATAATACAGTCAGAAGTGGTGTACAGCTCAGCAGAAGTACTTAAACTTAACTGTGTGCTTCTTTTACTCACTAATCCTCCAAAATTCTTCGGATTTCCTTCGATTTTCACGCAGAAACAAACGTAATAATCTTTTTTCTAGGTTATGTAACAAATTAAGGACAGATTTAGTGAATAATTAGCATTCTAGCACAAATATTCTTATGCTCACGTCCGAGAGATCGCTAGTCCTTGACAAAAATAAGCATTTGCAAGCAATTAGCAGTGGTTTTATTGATCTTTTGATTCCAAGAAACACTTCAAAATGAGTTAAAATTTAACATTACCTCAAAAATAGTCATTTAGACAGTTGGAAAATGTTCATTTAGTAATATTTCAGGACAATTTAGATTGAGAATCAGTAATTTTAATATCATTGGTAATTTTTTTTTGAGGTTATGGTCAGAAAAGACACCCGAAAAAGCAGTTTTAAGTAAATTCTGACACAAATAACGAATGGAAACTCAATACAACATGATTTTCCCATTGAATTGGTCTCCTTTGGTGCCAAGAAAGACGTCAAATTGTTCTAAGATCGTACATAACCTCAAAAATTGTCATGTAGAAGAGCTTTTTAGGCAATTTGAACTCTGAATCAGCAATTTTAAGTTCATTTGCAAATTATAACAGATGATTTCGTGAGCTAGAAAGCTTCTAAACGGAGATTTGGAAGATCTCTTGGTGATATTTTGAGGTTATGATTGGAAAAATACCCCAAAAAGTGGTTCAAATTTGATTCTTGTAGAATTATCGGATGGAAATCTAAGAAATTCATATAATCTAAGGATTAATGTGGAAACAGGCTACAAATTTCATGTTCTAGAAGTGGTGTACAGATTGAAGGCATATCATCTCCCCCTTGGGCGATGTCCCAATAAGACACTGATGGCAGATGACGAGCGGAAAAATCCCGACTGTGACTCCCAATTCCGAATGCTATACATTATAAATGACAAGTGATGACACAGTTTGGCATTTTGGGATTGAGTAATGCGGGTGCATTTGGATGAAAAATGAAATGAGGAAAAACCTATTTGTACACGACAGACTCCTCGATACACCGCATGCCAGGACTTTGGCAGCGGCGCACCTGTCATTTCCTTTTAGAGTATTCATAACTCCTTTTATGGATGAGGAGCATTTTCAATGAATTCCTCCGCACACACTCTTCTACAAACAGCATTTGAGTGTCGCTGACACACCAGCACAGCCCTTTCCGTAGTCTTCCCATAACCCATCAATATAGTGGCCCCAAATGGGCGCCCTAATGGGGGTTTCTCCTCATCTCGCTTCCCAATGCGAACAATAAATTTTTCCCTCCAAAGGGCTGCGCATCGCAAATCGTACTGCCCGACGAACACATTAGCCTACAATCAGCATGTTTCTCAGCTGCTCAAAATCACGACGGATGAATTGATAAAATTGACTTCAAAACCCTCAAAACGCCTTCGAATCGTCCGTTAAAATACAAATTTTTCTGAATATATATTATTTTGTAAATATTTTAGTTCATTTTATTGGTATTTATTGAAATTTTTGACTAAAATATGGCAAAATAATAGAAAATCTCAAAATATTACTTTCCAAAGTCGATTTTTAATAGTTTTCAAGTCGATTTTATCCTGTGACTTGAACTTTTCTTGATATTTTCGAGGAAAAAAATTTAAAAGATATGAGAAATCTTCATTCAAAGTCTGAAAAACATTGAAGGATAATTCTGAAAATCTAAAATATTATCTGAAAAGGCGTTTTATGCGATTGATTGCAGTGAAAATTCGACTTTTTCATACAAAAAACATGACAATTTTTTCCATTTGTGCTTTTAAGATAAATAAGATTTTTTACTATTGTTTCATAAGACATAAATCTCAAAATTGTTGTACAGGAAGAACAAAAAATGCTTTTCAAATATTAATAAGACGAAAACTTGGATAAATTGACTTTTCCTAGTTATTTGCTCAAAATTGAGCAGATAAAAGCGCTTTTCTCAGCACATTCTATAAGCATCTCTGAAATTGTTCTTCCAGTTCTTTCAGAGACTTGCACAATTTGCTCAGGTGTTGCTTTTGCGAACTATATATTCGATTATCTCGCTTACTTTTATGATGTGATGCTAATAATTTGAGCTGAAACAAGTGCTTTTGCGCGCAAATCTTCAAGCACAGTGAAATTCTCTTTGTGATGAAGTAATTTTCACGCTGTTTTCACTTCACTCACATCACAGGACACTGTCAGGACTCCCTTGCAAACGATTACAGAGTATCGCGCGTGCAAATTAAACGAGTAATTAGGGCTTCGATGGGCACTTTAATTGAAAAAGCTCGATTATAGTTAACATGAAGCGTGTCAGTTTCCTCACGGATTGAATTGTGTGGTGTTGTTTGCGAATAAAAGCCCAGCATAATTGCTCATTTGAGCCATTGTGGGCATCGATGATGCGCCTCCGAAGCGGATATAGCGGCTGAATGTTTGGTGTTTTGATGAGAGCAATATTGTAAAGCTTTTATTCCATTCTGGGGGCTGCAAAATCGATTTTTTGGCGAATGAAAGCAACCCGCAGAGTTGAATTATCTATCTTTTGAGCTGTTCCTCGTGGCTTTTTATCCTTCGCCAGAGCCTTTTTCGGTGACTTCCTCTCGTGTGCTCACATTCTGCACTGCGAGTGGCACTTCTTTGTTCTGCACACAATTTTTGTTTTGAATATTTAATGTGATTTTTATCGTATGGCATCCTTGGTGACAGTGCTGCTGGTGTCCCTTTTCTGGCACACCCTCGCCTAGGGCATGTGTGCCACCCCATTTGCCCTCCCTTCCTTCGCCCCAAATCCACCACCAGAGTGCTCAAGAAGCATTAGAAAACATCGCAGAGACTCATGGTGCGGAACTATAGTTCCGGAAGAGAAAGTTTCTTTTATTGTGTGGCGTTGACTTATGTAAAGGAAAATGAAATTGGACTTCAATTTTCCCCTCCCCGAAATCGCTGGGAAAGCTTCAAACATATTATTCTCGCAATTACACTCATTTTGACTATGCATGACACTTTGAAAAGAATGCCATAAGTTGAGGGTGACAAAGAGGAGGGAGAGAAAGCGCTCTTTTGAAGTTTACTATATATGCCAAGGGGGAGATAATATGCCTCAAATCTGTACACCAATTTCTCTGCAGATTCTTCATCACTTCTTCTGTTATTTTATCACATAACCTAAAAACAAAGCGATCAAATTGATTTTTCCAAGCAAAATTATTTTAAAAAAAATGCTTTAATTTATTTAAACTGAAGCTCATTTCAAAGAGACATTTTTCTGCATTTAAGTGATATTTTTGAGGTTATGTTTGACTTTTAGGCTTTTTCTCAATCAATATGACGTTTTTTTTCGCACAAAAATGCTCAAATCTGCCAAGAAACAGAGAAATTTGACGATTTATTCTGTTTTAAATCATTAACATAACCTCAAAAAGCAATAAAATTGATTTTTAAGCCAAAATAATTAGGAAAATGCCTCAATTTGGTTGAAATGGAAGCTTTTGCAATGCAAATTTTCTATATATTTTTCCACTTTCACTTCCCAACACTGCCTTGAAGGCTGTGAACCACTTTCGATCATAATATCTGCCCCTTGGTTTTAGTATATATGCGATAAGTGTGTTGATAGGGCGGCAAAGTTGAAATATTTTTCCACTTCTCAGCTAATCTTGGGGGAGGAAATTGAAAGAAAAAGTCAAAGAACTTCATGTATTTGTGTGAATAGATCTCTTCCGGTGCTTTTTTTTTCCTGGTGATTTTCGTCATGTTAATTAATTACGCGTTTTGCCAGCGAACTTCGAGACATTTTCCTCAACTCGCGCACTTACTTTTGCCAAAACTTGAGAGCGAAAGGATTCTTCTGGGGGAGGCCAAAATTTGGCGCACACCCGATGAAAAAGGAGTGCTATCAAATATTTTCTGTCTTGGGCTGAAAGAACCCTATAATGTCATGTTACATAAAATTTACTCTATGTACAAAATTTAATGGCGCAAAAATTCTCTATGTACCGACATAGGTTAGCATCGTCCTCAAGGGTGCAAAAGACGAGCATATATATATGTATTCGATTAACCCAACCAAGGATTTCGTGACTATCAACTGTAAAATTCTTCATTTCGTAATTGTTTAGAGCTTTTTTCAAGTTTGCCCTCTATTTTCACCCAAAGAGCCATCCCACATTGGGCTAATTACTGTGCAAGGCACTTTATACCATGCAAATTGGCAACATACCTCGTTGCCCTAGAGCGAGAAAAGGAGATTTCGCAACTTTTTATACGCGCAATAAAATATTACACATTATATGCCTTCAAGCCCGAACAAGCCGTCTTTTATGGCATATCAAATTAGCAGATATTTCGTGTGGGCTGCACAAAAATGCGTATTGTGCTATTCAGATGCCTTTTATTGGGCATTTAGAGGCAAAGGTTAGAGGTAAGGGATGTTTTAAAATATACTTTCATACCTGTGCAATGGAATTACACTAAAAAGACTCGTTGTGAAGACTCGTCAAATTTCTTCCATTTTGGCGCGAAATTCAACTCATTTTAAGACGTTTCAATTTTAAAGAGTCGATTTTCAACACTGGAAAATATGCTAATTTTGTTAAACATTTGGCAGAATTTTTAACAAATTTCAATTAATGGTGAAATATCAAGGGGGAGATAATATGAAGTTATTAGAAAGAGGAAGTGTAGATAAACTTATAATATTCCTATCCTGGTGTGTTTATTTTACTGCCTAATCCTCCCGATTCTTTCAATTTCCCAAGGAATTTCTTTCGATTTTTACGCAGAATCAATTAGAAGAATATTTTTCTAGGTTATGTAACAAATCAAGGACAGATTTAGTGAATAATTCGCATTCTAAATCATTAATTAAGCATTGAATTAAAACAATGAATTAAGCATTTATAAGCAATAAACATCTCTATTCTGAGTGAAAATTGAATTGATCTCGAACATAACCTCAAAAATTGTTACTTGCAATAGAAAATGATCATTTAGAAAACTTTTTGGACAATTTTCGACTCTGAATCTGCAGTTTTGAGTTCATTGACAGATCATAACCTGATTATTTGGGCGGCCGTGGTGCAGTCGGTAGAGAGCCAGACTGAGGACATCACGGTCGTGTGTTCGATCCCCATCACTTGCAAATGATCGAACACAGCAGATGCAAAAAATATTAAGCCTTTCAATGGCAAATATAAAATTCCAGCCCAATTTAAGGTTGCTGTTAAATGATCCAACTGAAGTAGAAACTTCTGTGGAAGTGTATTTCGCATCTGTCCTTACTTATAGATGGGCACACTACCAGACTGGTGTCGCTTGTAAATAGGCGATATCGTCTGCAAACACGCCCAAGGCCAAGCTCTGCTAGTCTGTGAATTTGACTGGCTCACTTGAAAGCCTTGCCCTCTGAGTGGGAAAAAATCAGAGGATAACCGGGGGAGAGGGACGACATAAATAAAAATAAAGATATCAATGAAAGTCACAGGCCAAAGCTGTACCGTCTGAAAGGTAACTGGATGACTGGTTAGCTTTGGGTCTTGGCCCTTAAATGGGAAATTTTTCTGGGGATGCATAAAGGGCCCGTCAGATGGCCTTGGATGCCGTGGAGCAAGATTTCTTGTACCACCCCCATTTCTAATCTATCTATCTAACCTGATTATTTTGTGATCTAGAATGCTATGAAATGGAGTTTTTGAAGTTATTCTAGTTATATTTTGAGGTTATGGTCGGAAAAATGTTCAAAAGCGCGGTTTTAAGTGGATTCTTGCAGAAATTTCGGAGTAGTTGTACAGATTGAAGGCATATTATCTCCCCCTTGTGAACTATTCGACATAGTTTTATTGGCCGGATAGAATGAAGTGAAAACTGATTTGACATCCCACTTAGAGTCTCTGTCTCGAGAGTGCTGGAGTGGAAAAAGTGTTGATAGACAGCAGTTTGAGGAAATTAACCCTTGAATAAACGCAAATGGCTGTTGAAAAAGTGTCGAAAGCGTCGCCATTAAAGCTTCACAAAAGCGGGGGCGCAAAAAAGCTGCACGACAGCACAAGTTTTGACACTGGCGGGTTGGAAGCCATATAGTTGGGTGTTGTTGTGAAACAATTAAATTTATAGGCGAGACACTTTATGGTGGTAAAATTTTCAAAATGTATATATGTAGAAGTGAGTGAATTTAATTATATAATATCGCTTGTTGGTGTAAAGTTTCTGTCTCGTGCAGAATCCAGGCGCGCCGTCATCTGAAAAATGCTCCTCTGCGACTTGTTATGAGGCTCAGCGAGGCAACTTTCATGCAGAATGACTCTATTATGTGAGTCCTTGCAATCGTAAAATGTTTCTTCTCCGCACATTATGGCAATTTGAGCTTTGACAGTGGTGTCTGGGTGTGGCCGGGGTGCCTAAATATGTGTTTTGGGGGGAGGAAAAAGTGCACGGCGCCTTTGCATATTTGCAATTTTTGCTGCCACCCTCGCCGGGCCTCGGCGGTATTATGCAAATGGCGGGCCCTGCGCGGGGGCGGGGGGCGAAAGGGAGCTTTTGGAGATATTGCCGGAATGCGGGGGTGTTTGGGATCCGGAGGGTGGCTCTGGATAGGGGGTTATGGCGAATGTATGCAAAGTAGTGCACTTATCAAATCTGTCACGTACGAATAATTTTTCATATTGCCACACTCCACTTTTCGTGAAAAACTAGGCCACACAAATTTCGTACACGAGCCTCACATACTCCTTGTACCGCTCATACATTATATTCACTTCCAATGTAATATTTACATATGAGCTTTTTGTGCAAATGAGTTTCTCCCAAGGAGTCTCAAGATGTTTGCGCGCCCTTCGAAGGCTCCACGCGCTGCACTTCGCGTCTGGAGTGAGTCAAAAAATCACGGCAGCCAAGGGGCAAGTCACGAAGCGATTTTTGAAGAAACTTAATGTTTCAAAATCAATAATGTTCTTAGATTTTTTGAGTAAAAAAAAAATTATTATTTTCCCAAAGAAAATTGCAAAATAATAAAAATTTTAATAAGATAATCAAAAAACAATTATTTCCTCAAGTAAAAATGTAAAATTTTCAATAAAATAATCAAAAAAATATTTTTTTCCCAAGCAAAATTGCAAAACAAATAGATTTTGAAAAAAAAATCAAAAATTGTTATTTTTCTTAATAAAAAAGTCAAATTTTGAATAGAATAATGATAAAAAAAATTATTTTATAAAGTAAAATTGCAAAATAATCATTTTGAATGAAATAATCAAAAAATAATTATTTTCCTAAATAAAATAGGAAAATAAAATTTTAATTAAGATTTAAAGTAATTAATATTTTCCGAAGCATAATTGCCAAAAAAAAAACTAATTTTGAATAGAATTATCTTAAGAATTATGAAAAAATAAATATTTTCTTAAGTTATATTGCGAAAAAACAAATTTTGAATCAAATATTCAGAAAATAATAAAAAAAATCAGAATTTTGCATTAAACAATCAAAATTTGAGTAGTAATCACAGCTCAACTTTTCTCAACTTGCGAGTGACTTTCCCCTTGACGGCAGCCCTCGTGATTCACCCCCATTCGTACCTGTGGGGGATGAAGAGCGGAGGAAAAATGCATGCACTTGGTGAATGTATACAAACCTGTAGATTGGAAGATTGTTCTTGTACCAAACAACAAGGAGAACTTTGTCGTTGGGCAGATTCGAAGAGACATCACATCTTATTTGTGCTGTGCCATTCACCAGGACTTTCTGTACTTCGCCATCTGCAAAGGACCGAGAGGGAAATTTCATTAATTCCACATGAAAAATGCCTTTGTGTAAAATAAAATTCAATTGAGCTCCTAAAGCTTCGTGAGATTTTTCTTTTGAGATATAAAATTTTGACAAGGAGAGAAACGAGGCCACACGAAAGCGACATTATACAAAGTTGAGGAGAAACACGATAAACTCTCCATCTCTCGGGGGATACTATCAAGGGGGGGATAGAATTAGACTCCCCCTGATGATTCTGTGTGTGTGTGTTCCTTCGCAATGCAGCCAAGTGAGGGTTATTTTGTAGTCAATTGAGGGTTAATTTTGCATGAGCATCATCATCTCAATTTAATTACCTTTGAATGTTGCACGACAAATTTCAGGTTAATACGACATATTGAGTTAGAATGCTGCAGAAAAACTGCAAATTGGATATTCTATATTTTTCATTGGATACACGGGAAAACTGCTCGCTATTCAATTTAGAGCCTTTGCATGGTCTATTGACATCACAAGTTTACCTTTTGTGGAGTAAAACATCAAAAACAGACGCTGGCAGATTCAAACTGCCGGCAGAAAGAATGCAGAAGGATTCCAATGTCCATTCCATTTACAATATTCCCTGTTTCCTGACATCTTCAAGCCATTCAATTCCCCTTTTGCGAATTTGGTAAAGCGGCCCAGAGTTTATTGAGAGCTTTTTCTCACAATCACATTCAAGAGACTCTTCAATCCATCTCCGAGGGGGAGGAAAAAGGGAAAAAGCTCTCCGGTGGAAGAGAAATGACCCGCAGGAATTGCCAGGGGTGAATCAATTGTCTTTTGCAAGACATCACAAAGTCCAGATCCCTTTTTTTGATGTTCAAATCAAGGAGGAGATAATACGGTCAGAAGTGGAAGTGTTGAAAAATCTACAATTTTCCTTTCCTGAGCGTTTACTTTACTACAAAATCATATCGATTCTTAGGATTTCTGTTGAATTGTGCAAAGAAATAATTATTTTCTACGTTATGTTACGATTCACAGACGAATTTGGTGAATATTTTGCTCTCTAGCGCATCAATTCTTAAGCTAAAGCTGACAAGATTGCTAATCATTGGCAGAATTAAGCATTTTCATCCAATAAACATTGCTATTCTGAACCTTTTATGCCAATAAAACACTGTAAATTGTATCGAAGTAGAACATAACCTCAAAAAGAGTAGGTTTTAGACCGTTTTCTACACGATTTTGACTGTGAATCAGTGGTTTTGAGTTCATTGACAAATAAAAAGAGATGATTTTGCAATCTAGAAGGCTTTCAATTGGAGCCTTTTAAGATTTCTCAGTGATATTTTTGAGGTTATGATCGGAAAAGATGCTCAAAAAGGGGGTTAAAGGGAATTTTTTACAGAAATATCGCATGAAACCTTAAAATATTTATTAAAAGCTTGTGAATTATTGTGAAAAGAGTGTGAAAATTTGAAGTTCTGGAAGTGTTGTACAGATTAAGAGCATATTATCTCCCCCTTGGCTCAAATCGACCAACAGGGATGGGGGTTGAGTCCATGTGGAGGACATGCGAGGCCAGTGACATTTTAGACTAAATAGCTTTATTATAAATAGCGAGGATCAGCGCAGACAATTCCCGAGAGATGAGAAAAACACACGCAAAATGTGTGGGAAAAGCATAGGACGCTAATAAAGTAATATTTTTTACTCCGGGGCCAGCTGAAGTGGTTAAGCAAGAATTCAAGCAAGACGGAGAGATATCAGAAATACAATGACTTGATATGACCTCACTTATGTCTGGTTTAACATTCTGTTCATGTCGTTCGCTTTATCCGACAAGAAATATATAAGTTTTGTCTCCTCGCTCGCCATTTGGAAAAATAGTACAAAACGCTCCAAAATAAATCTGCCGTACAAATGACTTGCCACCCCAAATCGTGTGTCCGGGAACACGAGGGACATGTACGCCAAGCGAGGGAGATTTGTGGCCGTGTATTTCTGCGAGAAGTTTTCGTCCTCTAAATTTTTTCTCCTCCGGTCCTCATCGCTTGCTTTGTTTCTTCGCCAACACTTGCTGAAAGGGCGACTCTCCGCCACCCGCCATCGTCTCCACCCCGTGAGCACTTCCGTGTGTCGTGCAACGGACAAGCTCTCGCCCCAGCTCATAAAAGTTTAAAAAGCTTCCTGGCCACCGTCGAGGCACTCAGCAGATTAGAATCACACGAACGCACTAATTTCATATTGATTTTTTTCCCGCCATCCAACCACCACCCCCAATCATACCTCCAATTTAACAGGTGAACCAGTGTGGAAAAAGTACTCAAGTGGGGACGATGGATATTCGAGCAATAGATCAAAAAGTTGCCTAATGAATTTTTCACCGGTATCTCCTGATTGCCGTTCTTCATTTGTAATTTCTTCCTGGGAAATTTCTCTGCGCGCCTCACCAAGGGGTTGGCAATCAGCAAATACACACTGAAAAACCTCTGTGGCAATGATTACAAAAAAAATATGGGAATATTCAGCAACAAGCCCTGATCGAACTTTCACACGAATTCCCAAAGCTCCGAAAGCTTTCCTACTATTTTTATAGCAATTATTACTTGATTTTTGCTTTTCTTTCCTAATTCGTAGTCAAAATATTTATTCTAAAGTTTTTTTTTATAGATTTGTATGCCAGAATTATCAGAAAAATGTAAAACTTATGTTTTTTTTTTATATCCTTAGGATTTATCATAAAAATTGTATAGCAATTTGTGTATTTATTTAAAAATTATCATCTCATAACCATGAGGAAGTTTAATTTCCAAGCTAAATATTATTCTAATTTTTGCTATAATTTATGGAAAGCTCAGAATTTTTCAATTTTTAATTTTTTTCACTACAATATTAATGAAAATATTTCCCATGTCTTAATGGTAATTGCCATAATTTCTTTATGGGTAAATTTGAAATGTATCAAGGATATTTCCTTAATTATAAAAGATGTGAATATTTGCCATGTATTTTTCTCAGTGCAGGACTTTTTTCAGCAATTCCACACAGAAGCCATTGGCTAAAGACCCCCTGGTTTTTCTCCCAATTAAAAATTGATATTGCGCCCAGAGTTTAATATCCTTTCTCCGGCCCAGATGAGGGTCAACGGGAAAAAATCAGGCAAAAATAGCTGTCGCAATTTCTGAATATAACAACCACTCTGGCTGAGGGAAGGACATGAGGTGAGACATTCCACTTGAGGGAATTCAATAGTGCGATATTGTCTCGGACTCTTCGTGATGTGAGAACACAATAAAATGCATTCATGTGTATTTTATTGAACATAATTGACACTTTTGTGGCACAAACCACTCTTATTTCCTATCTCTGTTTGTAGTCATCAACATCATTATATGGGACAGACATCAGTGGCATGAGGACAGAAGTGGAATTTAGCATTAACTTTTGTGTGTGTGTGTCACACTTAATGAGATTTTCCTGCGAAGCTCCTTGTAATTGCTATAGTTTAGTATGTACTCAATGTCTTCGCGCGAACATTCAATTCTCGTGTGACGATCGAGGGAGGTTTTCGGGAGAGGGTGGCGATGGAGGAGGGAAGAATATTAAAATATGCAACCATCTCATGAATATAATTTGAATATCGTTTCCGGTGTAGACGTATAAATCAATGAGACCAATTCCTGTTTGTCCCCAAACCACCGTCGTGGCGGCAATTTTCCGCCTGTATCGGAGGAATCGGTTGTAGCAAGAAGCAATCTATTGTTCCCACCCCGTCACCACCCCCCAAGTCAATTCAATCCTCCGAAGGGACATACATATTCAATTATTTTAATTAACTCGCTCTTATTCTAACAGTTTCACACACCTTTATAAAATTAATAATAGGGTTCTCGGAACTACACCATAACCGTATATAGATTCCCAATTCCTGAACTCTTGACGCCATCCATTCACACCCCCGCACCCCCCGTTGGAATTGTCATGGCCCCAGTTATTCGTCCTGAGATTAACAGTTTGTCGTTGGCATTATTAGATTCGGATTCGGGCGGTCTCCGCACGGGGAAAATGCTGTGGTGTATTCGGTTATGGGTTCAGTGACTTGGTCAGTATGTGCTGTATTAAATTAGTGGGGAATGGGGCGTGGGATAAGATTGAATGGATGGTGGAGGCGAGTGCCGTCCCTACGTATTATCCTGGCAGAAGAGAGAGAGAGAGTTGCTATAGGAACCAATTTGGGGAAGCGAAAACCCATCTCGTTTGTCCCCAGATGATGATATGCCAAACTTTCGGGGCTCGAGCACACGCAAGTCACAGAGACATCATCTTCGATTGACGCCCCGGGCATAATCATTTGTTAAAATTTTCCCATGAGAAAAATTACACCGCATGTGAGGTAGTCCCTTGTACTCAATGTCACACACATGATGAGGATCAATTGTTGGGAAAAATCACAAATTTCACCCAATATTTTCCCTCCAGCTTATCGATTGTGATGTTCCAGGAGAATCACAGACATTTTCAGAACTTTTACAGACTTTTTTCTTGACTTTAATGTGAGATAACCAAAAAATAACCCTCTGACAACCAATTTTCATATTTATCATATGCAGTTTTTAGAGCAAATCTCCTTGGAAACACAATTTATGACATTTTTTGTCCTTCACATTCAGTAACATTGAGAGATTTCCACTGATTTGCTTCAAAATCCGGCAAAGTGAAAGCTTAGAGTTAGATTATGGTTAGATTTTGGTTAGAATTTGGTGATAAACATGATTTTAGTGGAAATCTGGGTTGAAAATACCCACATAATCTAGAAAAGAATTAAATTAAACTACTCACAAATACACAATCATCGTTTATTTATTATGACTGCGAGTTTGCAAGAGTGAAAGTTTGCCATAATAAACATTTCTCGCGAAAATACCAATTAACACCGAACTACAATTGTTTCCCTGAAGCGAAATTAGGAATATTTGATACCGTATTATTATGGCATTGTGAGCAAATTCACACAGTTGACGAA